GAGGCAGTTGGTCTCACATTTCTGTTTAAAGTTGAAGATGATTAGTGTTTCTTAAATAAAACATTGTTAAGCCAATCTTGGTAAACCAAACCAGGCCTGTGTGCCTGAAGATGTGACGGTATTGTGGCTGTGGGCAATGCTGGTTAACCAAGTTTTCTGGTTGTTAAAGTGCTGGATAACACGGGTTTTACTGTACTGTGTACTTGCAGGAGTATGAAGCCCATTCAAGCATGAACTTAGCTTTACAAGATCCCCTGTGGCATGAGGCCTCAAGCAGTTGTTCTGCTTGCTACCTACTAATGCAGGCCCTGCACTTTCAACTCCCCGTATACCTGTTCTGTAACCCTTCCTTGGGGTTGTGGCCTCTAAGTTGACAAACACTAAAAATGGATGAGTTGGTATACCCCTTAGAACACCTCTGTGTTGCCCCAGGAGAATGCATACCCCTAGTCAATAACGACTGTTCTAGTTTGTGCTGCCTTTCTAGATTTCTTTTTAACCTTGTAGAGGTTGAACCTCTCTAATCTGGCACTCTCAGGACTTGAGTAGTGCTGAACCAGATAATTTGCTAAATCACAGGAGGTCAATATTGTCTAGCAGCATTATCAACACTTATGCTGCTTACTGGGCTCTTAGTTAGCTCTAATTTACCCCTAAATGTCTTCTAAGAGCACAGAACACTGAGAGCTAAGACTGGTGGCTTTAAACAAACTTTATGGAACCATGAGAAACTTGGCGCACACCGTAGATAAGTGGACATCAAGCTAATTAAAATCATGCCGGACCACGGATGTTGCCAGACCAAAGAGTTTAGGACTACAGAGTTTCAACATGTAGTGCTTTTACAGTATAGATTATGCAAGTGTACTAATATGTCTTTGGGGGAAAAAATTACAAGAGTGTATTGTTAATTTTGAATTCTAGATAAAAATCTGGTGTTCCTCATGACCTCTTTCTTTTTCTGAAATAAACATCATGCTAGCAGGAAATGTGTACGGGGTGGTGGTGTGAGGTTCTCTGAAGGGTACCTAAGTTTTGAGGCATCTTGTTACAGCCTGCCCTGAGCATGAAGAAACCTTGTGTTGTCCTGTCAGGGTCAGTTCCCCAACTCTCCAAGCAGCAGACAGCACAAGCATTCTCCTCTCTGCTGAGACAGGCTTTGCCATTCTTTTGCAGTTTAGCAATACAGGCAGTCCCCAGGTCCCCCCAGCAGACCAGGGAGACGCGGAGCAGTTTTTCTCAGCAGACACCTCAGCTTGAGAATAAAGGACTGAGGGAAGTGAGGTGTGGGAGAATAAAACTGAGCTCTGGAGAAATGTTTGGCTAGAGTTTCCCCTACAATATGTACCAGTTACGACTTACATACAAATTCAACATTAGAACAAACCTACAGTCCCTATCTTGTACGTAACCCGGGGACTTCCTGTATATACATTGCAAACTGTGTCCACCTTGAGTGTTCAGCCCCCTAATCACTGGACAAAGGAACAGTACACTCCAATTTACCAGTTGCTATCTAAATAACAGTTCCACTTCTTACCCCTCACTTAGATTCTAGTGAAAACTAGAATAAGTAGGGATTGGAGAAGAAGCAAGTAGGGTTAATGGACCCCTGGGGCTACATATAAAATCATAACAGCTGTTGACTCAAGTCCCACGACTTGAACTTGAGTCCGACTTAAGAAGCCTAGGTGACTTGACCACGACTTGAACTCGAGTCCGACTTAAGCCTAAGTGACTCGAACTGAGACTTGACTCGGGTTCATTATTTGTGACTTGAGACTTGCTAATTTTGTTAATTTGACTTGGTGAAAAAATTGTCCGAACATGCCGATATTAATGGCTTGTACAAAAGTGACTTGACTTTTTTTTTAAAATTAAGACTTGGGACTTGACTAGAAAGTGACTTTAGGGACTTGAGACTCGACTTGGACTTGACAATGACGACTTGAAGACAACACTGAATCATAACATGCATCCGACCGCCTAAACATATTTAATAAGATATTCTCTTGTTACATGCGGTGCTATTTATCCAAAGGCATTATCAAATTTTTCAGCTTGAATGCCCGAGGCCCTCCTTTTGTGAGCTCAAACCCACTGTCAGCTTGTCTTCGCAGATGAAGGATGCCAGGACCTCTTTCTGCGCGCAAAAAAATATTGGACCCGTTCATTTTTGTTTTGTTTTTTAACCTGAATACAAGGTTCTATCCCTTGCTGTTTACCTCCTCCTGTTAACTTCTCTTGAAATCCCTACACTCTCTTCATTAGCATTTTATTCAGTATCCAAATATACTTCTGGTGTAAGATGGCAGTCAGGAATATAAGCATCTGATACCTTCAGGCAGATTGCACCAGAAGAAGGTATGCCAGCTCTGGGTGACCTGCTTTTACCCCTAGACTTACAGAACATAACTTCCAATATATCTAGGTATCTTCTCACATATTATCTGCATGTGCAAAACTCATGATGATTGGTGTGATTCAGGCTTTCAGTAGGACTTTCACACGACATTCTATGGTGATCTACCATACCCAGAAAATTGCTTATGCATCCCATGCCACCTGCCAGCTAGCATCAGTTAGTCACAGAGTTCTGTGGCTTTGGGATCTGAGAGTATGTATATATCTATGTAAACATTAAGAAAAGGAAGAAAATTAATCTCTATTGTAGTCAATACATTAACAAACTTTTTGTGCTCTGCTTTTAGAACAGGAAATGTGTGGGTATCTTTGAAGGACATACTTCCAAAGTGAACTGTCTCCTGGTTACTCAAACAAATGGGAAGAATGTAGCCCTCTACACTGGCTCTAGTGACCACACAATCAACTGCTACAATATTAAGGTACTCATAAACGTGGTATTTAATGAGTTAAACTTTGCACATTTCCAGGAGAATCTCAAAGGACTTTTCAAACATAAATGAATCAAATCTTTCAAATCCCCATGAGGTAGATGGTATCTTCATTCTATGATGAAAGAAAGTGACCTGCCCCAAGTCACAGTGGAAGCAGAAATATAACTAAGTTACTTCTGATTCCCAGTTGTGTGTCTTAAACAGAGTGTATGTGTTGTGATACAAAAATGTGAATAATATGAGTCAAAGACCAAGTCTATACTAGATCAGGCAGGTTGACTTAAGGTATGCAACTCCAGTTACTCAAAATGCATTGCTGGAATTGGCTTACCTTAAGCCAAGACGTGGCAGTGTCCACACAGCGGGAGGCTGACGGGAGCATGTGCTCCAGTCATCTTGCCTTACTTCTTGCAGAAGGAGGAGTATCAGATGCTGTCAGGGTCAGGAGCTGTCCTCTGTGTTCAATTTTAAGGGTCTATACTAGACCTACTAAATCGAACGAAAGAAGATGGACCTCTAGAGCTTCAGTCGTATATACTAGACCTACTAAATCGAACGAAAGAAGATCGACCTCTGGAGCTTCAGTCGTAAGTACAGTAAATTTACGATAATCTGGCATCTTTAGGACCCAGGTGGTGCTGGATTATTAGATATGCTGGACTATCGGAAGA